AATTGGTGTCTAGAGTGTTTGGGTTTATCTGATTCCAAACCTGTAAGTGCTTGTATGGAAGTTATGGGGTTGCAGGCTAAGTCTGCTTCGGTGGACACAAATTCTACAAATTTAACGATGGATAGTTTCCAAATGCTTTTCTCTGTTACATAGCCATGGGGTTCCATCTAGATACTAGCAATCATTGAGAACTTCCAGTGTTCTGATATGTGGCATAGCAGCTTCACAACTTCTGAGGAAGTCCGCAAATTCCCTCAACTCAGATCCATCTTTGTAGCTTACTTTTGGCCACCTGTGAAGTTTATCTCGGAAGTATGGATCTCCAAACCGTTTTTCTAACAACTGCCAAGCCGAATCGTATGCAAGGCCGGCCCAGGGCATAGGCGACCCAGGTGGTCGCCTGGGGCGCCATCTTCAGGATGGGGCGCAAAATTGCAGTCTTAAAAAAAGAAAACTATATATATATATATATATATATATATATATATATATATATATATATATATATATATATATATATATATTATAATGTTTTTTTTTTTCATTCTGCTAAGTGTTTCCCATCACGTGAGATTGCAAAAAACAAAAAATGTATGTATACTATAAGCTTATAAAATTGTCATCATTGAACCCTGCTGCTGTAGGGTGCTCTTTTGTCACGTGTAACCCGGTTAATTTTTTGGAGTATTTTCATTCCCTCCGCAATTCTCGCGATATTTCAACATCTGTGCGAGACTTAGGCTAGACGTCTTTTTAAAGATGGCCGCTGCCATCTAGTATTAGCCGTGTGGGACTCGAGTGATAGAGCTGCTGCAGGTAGGCATCTAAACCCATTATTTACGCTTATTATGGAAGTATAAGGGTCACTGTTATGCCTCCAACATTGCAGACGCCTCTTGCCAACTGCAGAAGGGCTGCGCTTTAATTGTGATTTAATAACATAATGATGAAATTATGAAATGAAATATGTAAATGATGATACATTGTTTAGTTATGAATTGTGATGCTTTATGAATTGTATCGCTTATGGCTGGTCCTGTTCTGTACACACAGGCCAGGTTCCTATTCTGGATGGCGAGCTAACGGGGCTTTCACACCGCCAACGCTGAAACGCTGAAGCCCCGCTCACCAGACGCGCATTCTCTAGTTTTCAGACGCAGGGGTCTTCACACCAGAACGTCCTGACGCGAGCCGGAAGTACCGGAAGTAGCCGACCGGCTTAGAGGCTTTTTGTGTACAGATCTTCTCCAATATGCAGCTTTGCCGCGTGTCTTTGCTCAAAAACATTCCACGGGCTTTATATAACAGTAGTATGTGTTCACGGAGGTGCGCCATCGTTTTTCATTTTATTAAACGGAATTTCCGCATCAGCGAACACACTCAAAGCAGTTGCATAAGGTCACGGGAGCATGACAACGCATATTTTCACAAGCACACAGTCCCCCATTGTCAACCCTGGTTTGAGTTCTGGTGAAGCCTGGTGCGGGTCCTGTTTTGGCTGTTTACGAGTATTTTCAGTCTGCTCGCTCAGTCCGCTAACGTCCCCGTGACCTCTTTGCTGCTCTTTGATTGGTTGTCGCACGAACGTCCCAAAAAAAGGATGAGCAGAATCCATCTCTTGTGGGCGTCAATTTTTCGCTCCTAATCCTCCCTTTTCACTTTCCCGCCAAGTCCATGCGTGTCTACTGAACAGTCCGTTCATGCGAACCAAGCGGTCTGTGCGTTGCGACGGCCGAACGCACGTCACCATAGACTTTGCAACCCGACGATTGAAACCCGACGCAACGCATGATCCGGTCTGAAAGCACCATTAGTCTGGAAAAGACAAAGACAATACCATTCTGCTAGTGCGGTAGGAGGCGCTGCAGCCGCTCCCCACACACACACTACACACGCACACAACCAGTGTGTGAACGTGAACCGAGACTGTGGACAAAATCTTTCCCAAGAACCTGTTTTTTCCTTGGACATTGAATTACATGAAATGGACTGGAATTTGATGGACTGGAACAAAATGAACTGTGCACAGTTTGTAAATTTTGTAAATGTATATATAACTTCACTGTACAATAACTAAACACAACCGAGCTCAATATTTTTGTTTGCTGTGTGTGGTTTATTGAGCAGCCCATTTTTCCTCCGTGCTGAACCTATAGAGATTGATTCTAGCCTGCTGTTAATATTATTCTTATCTTCATATCCTAAACTCTATTGTTACAATTACTGTAACATTGTACATGTTACATAAAGTGGCGAGCTAGCCAGGAGGAATTGGGTTGTTTGATGTACATTTATTATTGTGTCATTTGAATTCATTTGATCCAAACATTTAAAATGGATATATTTGTGAAACATGGAATCAAAATCCCTTACGCAGTTGTTGTTGAGGGCATAACAGAAACTGCAGAGGACGAAATTATTAGTTTCTTAGAAAAATATGGTCCAGTTGCGAAAAAGTTAGTTGTTTCAGAACCAGAGTCAACATTTAAGGGCGCGCTTGTTGTTGAATTTTCAAGTAGCATCGTTATGTTAAAATTGCAACCGTTATTGCCCTACACCAGGGGTGCTCAATACGTCGATCGCGATCTACCAGTCGATCGCAAAGGTAGTATTGGTAGATCGCATTAAATAAATAAAAAATTACACATTCTAAACAAATATATACAAAAAACTCCGGGCAAAGTGGAGATTTTTGAAAACTCCGTTAATGCATTTGTGTGTAGACAGAGATAACCAGAGTTTTGCGTTCTCGCACGCCACAGTACCCCCCTAAATTCCTCTGATCACTGAAGCATGGATCATACTACCTTAAAAACTGTTTGCTGTGAGATGCTCGCAGCAGCAAACATCCTCCACATCAGAGAGCAGCAAAGTGATCGCGGGGACTCACGCTCGAAAACAACCAAACCAGGACTAAACCAGGACTAAACCAGGACTAAACCAGGGCTGAGGACGGGGTCAGTGCTTGTAAACATACGTCTTTACTCTGAGTGACTGTAAAAGTGCCGTTACCGGCGTCTGCATCAAAGCTCCGCCCACTTCTGTGTTTTTCCCCAACGCAGGACAGGACGTAAGAGACGCACATGTTTGGAATGTTACGAATGTGATTGATAACGCAGATGTGTGGATGCAAATTATTGTATAAACTGAGGAGGGGAAATATTTGGATTTAAAAAAAACAGGCATGGCACATGGACATGGCACCACAGTCAAATGACATCTGTGTTTTACTCAGTAATGTTTTACTGACACTTAGGTGACTGCACATGCGCAAACAACCGCGCTCAGTGCAGGAAAGCTAAACCACGATAAACTTGTCAGCGAGTTACCACCAATTTTCCGGACTATGCATCCCTGGCCGATTCAATTCAGTGCTAGTCATAAGAGTAAACTCGGGTAATGACAAATTTACATAGGTAATTGTGTTGTGTTGTGCTATATTGGCTCATGCGGTTTTGCATGTACATAAACATACATTGTAGATATAAAGAATATTTTTTGAAATATATGATTTGCATTTTTGTAGTAGGTAGATCCTTTTGACTTGATCCTTTTGTAAGTAGCTCGCATGCTGAAAAAGTGTGAGCACCCCTGCCCTACACCTTCGTCACTGTTAAAACTGAAGATACTTTTAGCATATGCGAGCTCTCAGTGGTTTATTCAGAGCAAATTAAAACTATGTCATATCTGGTTGAGCTGCAAAGTATGGCTAGAGCCACTGGTGTAAACTATACAGATGTTCTTAAACACACCATGTCTTAAATTGGATTATCCACCTCTGAGCTTAACCCAAATGCGGAGGAAGTGGAAGCTGATGACACCGAGCAAACTGTCCATAATGCTACTCCAAGCACCTCGTCAGCAGTCACTGCTTCAACTGCCTCTAGACCACAACCAGAGATGCGCCGCACAATCTCCAGCATCGATGTTCATCCACCGGAGGTTCAGAGATATGTGGTTGAACATATTGTGAAGAATGAAGAAGGCGCAGTGCACCATCAGCAGCTCAGAGCATTCTCAGGACGTGTTCCTAGACTTGCTCACAAGACGGACTACAAGACCTGGAGGTCCGGAGTGGTACTGATGTTGAGGGATCCATCTGTGTCTGATCTCCAGCGCAGATGTTGTGAAGCATTTGAACTCTGAAGCCATGCCCACTGCTTATTTGGATACGCTTGACTCTGCATTCGGAGCTGTTCAGGATGGAGATGAACACATTCCAGGACAGTGGTGAGAAGGCATCTGCTTACCTTCAACGTCTCCAGGTGGCAACGTCTCCCCCCCTCTGCTCTGAAGAGGGGGGGAGTTATGGAGTCTGAGATAAATCGCCATCTGTTAAACCAGTTTTGTCGTGGATGCTGGGATAACAATTTGATAGCTAAGCTCCAGCTTCCATCCATCCATCCATCCATTTTCTTCCCTTTAATCCATTTCTGGGTCAGGGGGGTGACAGTCAGAGATGCCACCCAAGTCTCATAGCACCAGCCCCAAGCTTAAACAAAGGAAATCCAAACCACCCACTTTTGCAGAGCTGCTACTTCTCTTGCGGACTGAAGAGAACAGAGAAGCTGGAAGACCTGGATTTCGGTTGCACGGACAGAGTAAAACATACCATCAAGCTTCATGATGAGACGCCTATCAAGCAACGCGCCAGGCCAATACATCCTCGCGACATCAAAGCTGTCAGTAGACATTTGCGAGACCTCCTCCACGCTGGTGTTATTCGAGAGTCAGAGTCTCCTTTTTTGTCTCCAATCGTGGTGGTCCGGAAGAAGAATGGCGATGTACGACTCTGCATCGACTACCAGAAGCTAAATCTTGCAACCATGAAAGATTCCTATGCTTTACCCAACCCTGAAGAGTCGTTCTCGGCTCTAAGTGGCTCCAAATGGTTTACAGTCTAGGACTTGAAATCTGGGTATTACCAGATCCAGATGGATGAAGTAGACAAGGCTAAAACTGCCTTTGTTACACCGCTGGGGTTCTGGGAATGGAATCGGATGCCCCAAGGGGTAACCAACGCTCCCAGTGCATTCCAGAGACTCACGGAGAAGTGTATGGGGGATGTAAATCTCAAAGAAGTCTTCACGAGCACTTTTGAAGAGCCCGAGAAGCGACTAGTGCAAGTCCTCGAGCGTCTCAAGGAGTTTGAACTAAAACTGTCCCAGGAAAAATGCAAATTTTTCCAGTCCAGTGTGTGTTACCTCGGGCATGTGGTGTCCGAGAAGGGTGTTGAGACAGACCCCGAGAAGTTATCCTCACTCAAATCCTGGCCAGTTCCCCGAAACTTGAAGGAGCTGAGATCCTTCCTCGGGTTCGCAGGATACTATCGGGGGTTCATCAGAGACTACGCCACCCTAGTCAAACCACTCAATTCTCTCACTCGTGGCTATGCACCAGTACGTAATTCCACTAAAGACAAGAGTACACTTGTGAAGTATCTTGATCCAAAGCAGTCTTTTGGTGATAGATGGACTGAAGAATGTCAAACTTCTTTCAATGTTGTGATCGAGAAGCTAACATCTGCGCCAGTTCTTGGTTTTGCAAATTCAAAGGTATCATATATCTTGCACACAGATGCCAGTACGACCGGCTTGGGAGCCGTCCTCTATCAAGACCAAGAGAATCAGCTGCGGGTCATCGCCTATGCAAGCCGAGGCCTGTCGCAGGGTGAGTCTCGATACCCGGCTCGCAAACTAAAGTTTCTCGCCTTGAAATGGAGTATCACGGAAAAATTCCATGATTATCTGTATAGAACAAACTTCACTGTGGTTACAGATAACAATCCTCTTGCTTATGTTTTATCATCAGCCAAACGAGATGCCACAAGTCTTCAATGGTTAGCAGCATTTTCCACCTCCTCTTTTAAAATGCAATACCGTGCCGGAAAACATAATCACGATGCCGACGCTCTTTCCAGACGTTGTCATGATGAGGTTGCGGAAGACACACAATCTAAACAAGAGTGGGATCTCATTCACCATCTGGCTGAGCAGTTGTCCCGGACGAAGCTGCAGAGATATGACATTGTTAATGCCATCTGTCAGAGCAGTCTTACTAGAGCTTCCCCCCAGTCCAATGTCACTCTAGTTGAATCCATGACAGTTTCTGCTGAAGTTATTCCACCAGAGTTTTCTCTATGACACACGCAGATTTGAGGGAAGAACAGAGTGCCGACCCCGCAATCCGAGAAGTCATCCACCAACTGGAAACTGGCGAGAAAATTCTCCCTGCTCTTCGGGAAGAATTCCCAAAACTTCCCCTGCTTTTACGGGAATGGAATCGCTTGGAGTTGGATGATGATGTTCTGTATAGGAGAAGAAAAGAAGACGATAGACTGGTCCTTCAACTTGTCCTACCTCTTGCCCTGCGTTCTACCGTTCCGAAAAGTCTCCATAGCGACATGGGGCACATAGGGATAGAACGGACTCCTGATTTGGTGCAGCAACGGTTTTTCTGGCCGAAGATGGCAAGTGATGTGAAGCGCTTCATTCAATCGTGTGGCCGGTGTGTGCGATGCAAAACCCCACCTGAACGAGCAGCTCCATTGGTAAATATCCAAACAAATCGTCCTTTGGAACTTCTATATATTGACTTTATTTCAATTGAGCCTGATAGCAGCAATACAAAAGACTTTTTAGTGATGACTGATCACTTCACCAAATTTGCTGTCGCTATTCCAACTGGGAATCAGAAGGCAAAAACTGTAGCAAAGTGTTTGTGGAGTGATTTCATGGTCTACTATGGCATTCCCGAACGTCTACATTCTGATCAAGGGCCTGATTTTGAATCGCGACTAATTAAGGAGCTCTGTGAGGTGGCTGGTATCAAGAAGACTCGAACTACCCCGTACCATCCTAGGGGAAATCCGGTCGAATGTTTTAATCGGACACTTTTAAGCATGCTGGGTACGCTCGAGAAAAAGCAAAAGTCCAAATAGAAAGACTATGTCAAGCCTCTTGTTCATGCATATAATTGCACAAAAAATTAGGTGACAGGGTTCACACCCTATGGACTTTTGTTTGGACGGTCACCGAGGCTCCCAGTCGATCTGGCTTTTGGCTTGCCGGTGCGGGAATCACAATCTGCTTCGCACTCTCAGTATGTGAAGAGCCTCAGAGCACGACTCAAAGAGAGTTTCAAGCTTGCATCTCCGAATGCCCAGAAATACGCTCAACAGAACAAAAGTCGCTTCGATCGGCGTGTAAAGCCTGCAAGCTTGGAAACTGGTGACCATGTGTTTGTCCGGAATGTCAGAATCCGTGGGAAGCACAAGCTCGAGGATAAGTGGGAGCAGGAGGTGTATGTGGTTATCCATCGTACCGGTGATCTTCCAGTTTATGTTGTGAAGCCCGAGACCCGAGAGAGACCTACTCGCAAACTACATCGCGATCTTCTCCTGCCGTGTGGGTTTCTGCCAACCTGTGTTGAAGTCCCAGAACCTTCTCTCGCTAGAAGACCCCACACTCGCAGCCAGAATCAACCTGCTGAGCCTGCTGATCCGGTTGTGGAGAGCGACAGTGAAGATAATGCTCATTCCATAATCATTCAATGACAAATGACAAACGGGCCCAAAGTAGAGGTATGAACAGAGACATGCAGCCTGTGGACAGTGAGAGTCTAAGCTCTGGTTTGATCTTTAAAGCTTTCAAAAAGAGTCGGTTTTCACAGAGATATCAGAGATATCAACAGAGTCCTGTTTCTAGACAGAGGCAGACGCAACGGGCGGAAAAATCGTGCGCGATGAGCGGAGATGAGCGCGTTTTAAACAGCAGCAAAAATAAAGCGGTGAGCTGCTGTGAACCAGTTCTGAGCCAGGACTGAACCAGGACTGAACTAGGACTGAGCCTGGTCAATTGTTAGACTCAATTTATATAAAATAATTTTACTTGAGATGATTTAATCTTAATCCTTTTTTTTTTAAATTATATATATTTGGAGAAAGTAACTTAAAAGTAATGCAGTAGTAGTGTAATTACAATTCAGATACAGTAATATTGTGTAATAAATTCTTTTGAAAAGAAAGTTTATTCAAAGTTTTTGAAGAAAACTGTTGAAGAAGGCTGTTTCTTACGTAAATGTGGAAAGAGAAGCTGCGGGAATGAGCCGCCAAAATGCAAATTTTAAACTTAATTGTTTTTAAATCTGAAGGATGTTTGCGACTACTTTCACTGCACACTTGTTCATTGTGATGCTCTCTATAAGTGTGCAAGGGGCACCTAGATATATTTTCGCCTGGGGTGCCTGATGACCTAGGGCCGGCCCTGGTCGTATGCTTCATTGGTTCCTAAAATGAGAAATCCTCCACTGCCTTTTTTGCAGATCCATCAAGGTACTTTCTGAGATAGTCTCTCATTTTTGGGAATGTTTTTCCATTCAATCAAAGTTTCAAACAACTGCCAGTCTTTGAACTGTACGGGTTCTGGAATTGGAAGACGATTAGCACTTATTGCTTCTGCTAATATGCTCACCAAAGAGTTCTGCTGGAGTTGAGTAGTGGCTGTTGAGACTGGCTTTGCTTGAGGAATGTAAGGTAAACTTGATGCTTTGAGTGCTAGACTTTTCGTAGCTGTATTTATGTGTGGAGTAAATGCAGGGGTAGAAGCATTTAAAACTTGACTTGTTTCTGGCGCTTGTGAATGTATGAGTGGTGTGAACGGGGCATGACTCACCGCTCTATTGTTACTTGACAAACTTTGACTTCCAGAGAAGTGTTCAGCCTCTTGGTAGACTTTTACTCTGGCTTTGGCAGCGTTCAGCTTTTTGACCTCTTCCAAACAGTTAATTTTCCTGCTCTGCTCTTCCATGGCTTGTTGTCTTACCAAATTTCCCAGTTCGCTCTGCTTTGTTTCAACCTCTAGTTTTCTTAGTTCATTTGCTTGCTTTTCCTGTTCCTCCATAACAGCTAATACCTCTTGAGATGCTGCAGCATCAGCTGCTGCTTCTACCCTTTTGACTGACTGTGTATTGACAGATAATAGTTGCAGTTTGACTTTTGAGACCTTGACTTTGATCCTTTAGATTCCAAGCATGACCCAAAATCTGTCCATGGCTCCTTGTCCTCTTCAGTGTGTCCTTCTAGTGATCCTTTGGCCCTTCTGACAGTGAACTCTGAAAGAGACGTGCATGCATCAACTTTGCATCTCATATCAGGATCTGGTACTTGTATTTGATGTATCTCATCATAAATAGCTTGTACATCTTGGCAGGTCAAATTCACATTGTCTATTACTTCTGTTAATTCACTGTCAGTTGCTGTGTCCATTAGCATTACCTTGCTTAATGTTGCTTCATATCTCCATTTTTCATAGACAACCATATCTGCGCTTGAGATTTGTCAAGAGATTTGTCAAGAGGTTCGCTCTTACAAACACTTGCTTCAGCTTGATCCGTTGACTCGGCGGAGCCTTTCTCAGTCAGGTCAGTCATATTTATGGTTAGTAAATTATTCATTATTTGGCTTTGTAGAAATGTAATTCTACGTCATGGTGCTACGTCCCTTAGGACTTCGCTAGTGGGATATCACTCGTGACCCCCAGGGATATCACTCGTGACCCCCAGGTCACACGCCAGAGAGATCAAAATAATTTGCTCCAATCACCAGCCACCATCCTCTATAAATGCCCCTGCACACAGTCGCACCCCCTCTTTCACTCTGGCGCCGATTGAGATCTACACAGTTTCAATTATTACCAGAGAAAAAAGATGTCTTCTGATGCTCGTCCGAGTTCCCCTTCGCCCTCCGGCGTCGGACGTCGTCGTTGCTCGACGTGTCGAGTCAGGCTCCAGCGCACGGACCAGCACTCCAGCTGCTTCATGTGCCTGGGCCCGGGCCATGCGGCGTTGAGCGCCACCTGCACCTCGTGTCTCGCTCTCCCCAGGGAGGAGAGCGAACGCAGGCGTGCGTACCACGCCGCTACAGCGCCCCGTCTGGACTCCTCTCAGGACGAGGAGTCTGAGACTGACTGGGCCCCTCTCGACCTTCCACCCGTGCCCGCGGAGTGGGGTGACTGTGAGGACGGAGAGATCTCGGAGGTCGGCTCTCTCCTCACGCTGGACGAGGTGGTGTCGAACCCGGAGCCGGACCGCTTCCCACTGGACCACATGCCTGGGCTCTACTCCACTGCGGCGGCCATCATGGTTGCCCCCCTGCCACCGCAACCGACCCAGAGGGTGGAGGACTTCACCTCGGGTTACGCCACCACTAGAGGGAGGAGGAGGACACAGCCCACGTTGTGCCCGCGGATTGACCCGATCGTCCATTACGCGACACGTGAGTGGCCAAAGCCCCTAGCGGCCAAGAGGCCTGCTTTGGGCTACGGTATGTACTGCAACGTGCAGGACTGGTCCTGGACCGGCGGGGTCCCGGACATCGAGGATTCGGTCCGCATGGCCCTGCACCCCTCCGCATCCGTGTGGCCCGGCACCAGACCTCTCCTTCCATCCGAGCGGGACAGGACGTCTTTGGCGATGCACGACAGATGTTACGCCAATGCGGCACAGGTCGTCGCTGTGGCGAACAACATGGCTTTCATCACGGGGGCCCTGGATAGGTCGCTCTCTTCTGGCCAGGCGCTCAGTGGAGACACCTTATCTCAGGCGAGGACCACTTCAGCGGCGATCCTGCGCATGTGCCAGGCGCTAGCTGGCACATGCGCGGCCGCACCATGGCAGTAGCTCAAGTTGGGGCCAGGCACCTCTGGCTTGGGGTTGCGAACATCAGAGAGGCGGAGAAGAGGCAGCTGCTGGACCTGCCTATCTCCCAGACGTCTCTTTTCGGTCCGGACATGCAGACCCTGGTGGCTAGATTGGAGACCGCAGCCAAGGACTCGGCTAGCCTAGCCCAGCACCTAGCGCCGAGGCGCGAGGCCCGCCCACCAGCGCGGAGCCGAGACAGAGGCAGGGAGCGTTCGCCCGGGAGGCGCCCTGGCCCATATCCACGCTCGGTGGCCTATTGTCCCCCCTCGACGAGGCCCCCGGGTCCAGACAGACACACGGGAGGCTCGCGGGACCAACGCACCCACCGCCGACCTCCCTATGGCAAAGGAGGTCGGGGTGGGAAGAATTCTTTCAATAAAGGCCGACCGGCATTTCATCAGTACTCGCTGTCTGAGTCTCATTTGGGGGTATGTAACATGTCAAATGATCTGAATTCTGATTGTGTTACTTATCGAGCACATAACGTGGCTTCGCTAGGCCTGCAGCCCCCAGAGAAGGGTGTGCAGTGCGCTACGCGAGCCACAAGCTCCGATTCACTGGTTCATGCTATGCCCTCCCAGAGAGAGGTCAGGCGGAGGGATCTGGTGAGTAATGATGTGTGTGCTTCGGCCGAACGCGTATTAGCATCTCTGAGCTACAAGGCTAACACGGGGTTTCCCACTCCAGGGGCTCGCCCCCCCCTCCATGAGGCAAGAGCCAGGGGGGGGCACAGCAGCCGAGTCACGTGTGGTGAGCAGTCCCGTACTTATGACGTCGGGCCTGCAGAACACGTGACCGCCCTCACCGCCCTCACCGCCCCTGCGTCACACCGTGAGTGGGCCCCCCGGCCCTTTCGGCCACCCCCCCTCCCTGCTAGGAACACCAGGAGAGGGCGGGGCCGTGAAGTCTCGTGTTCCAGCTCCCGTTCCGCCCCTCACAGACTTCTACAGCATCTGGAGGGAGCAGGGTTTGCTGACGGATATATGGCTGGAGAAAAGATTGCGCAGGGGTTACGCACTGCAATTCTTCCGAAAGCCACCACCATTCCGAGGCGTACGGGCAGTACGCTCTCAGGTACGGGGATCAATAGAGGCACTGCAAGCGGAGGTCTTCTCTCTGCTGAGTCGAGGCGCAGCAGTGGAGGTAGACCCGCAGGACGCCACCAGGGGGCTGTACTCCCTTTACTTCTTAGTGCCAAAGAAGTCAGGCGGGGTGCGTCCCATTCTGGATCTGCACGTGTTGAACGAGTGCATTTCCAAACGGCAGTTTCGGATGCTGTCCACAAAGCAGCTCCTCGAGTGTGTCAGGGAGGGAGACTGGATGACATCCATAGACCTGACAGATGCGTACTTCCACGTGCCCATAGTGCCAGAACACAGGAGGTTTCTGCGCTTCGCAGTGGGAGAGAGGAATTACGAGTACTGCCGTCTTCCCTTCGGTTATGCACTCGCGCCTCGGACTTTTTCCAAATGCGTGGAGGCAGCACTGGAGCCGCTCAGACGCGCAGGGGTAAGAATTTTAACCTACATAGACGACTGGTTAATTCTGGCATCATCCAGGGAAGTGGCCGTGAGCCACACGCACTGGGTCCTGTCCCACATACAGCGTCTGGGCTTTGTGGTGAACAGGGAAAAGAGCAAGCTGCAGCCAGCTCAACGCATGATTTATCTCGGTCTGCAGTTGGACTCTGTGACATTCCGTGCTGCATTGTCCGTGGACAGACGGATGAACATTACCCGTCTGGCCCGGGAGGTTCTGGCGGGCCCCAGAGTCCCCGCTCGGCGCCTCAGGTCCCTGCTGGGAATGATGGTGGCGGCTCATGCTGTGGTGCGGCTAGGCCTGCTCC